TACATACCAAATTCTTTCTACTCTGTCAGTACAAGAGAACTGAAGTAATCAATTTTGTATGACATAACGAGTTGTTCAAACTAAATGTTATCGATCATATTTAAATTCGAGATTTCAATTCAAACAATTTTACGAATGTGAAACACTTGACTGAGTATTGAATATTGAACAGTTTAAGGCATTTGCAACAAATAACGATTATTATAGAGTGATCTATATCAACACTGTTAATTAGTTTTATGCCATAAGTAACATTACATTCGAGATTACATTTATTGCTCAAATTCAAATCTTCTATATTCCTCATGACTTCTCTTTTTCTCTTTTTAAATTTACGTCATGGGGATATACTTCTCGAATCATAACCTTTTTATTACCACTGATAGTAGTTCTATGTCTTCCACTATGGGATTTAAATTAACAATCCCACCTCTGTGTGCTAATTGTGGTGAAGTAACTTGAACTGATGTACGTTAGTCATTTGATTGTGGCTAATTCGATAGCGTATGCTGTTACGGGTGTGAGGATGGATGTCACTTCCCAACTGCCCACACATTGGAAGGGTATTTCTTAGGGAACCTGCTTGAAACAGCTTGAAACCATGAACACAGTACCCGAAGAAATACTGCTTGAGGCCGGTCAAAGACAAACTTTTTCTGGGATGTTTTGGAATTTTGAACTCCTCTCTTTAAATTGCCTCACCATCGGAAATGGAGATCCGGAGGTTAAGATGAGGTGTGACATTTTTATGGTCGACCTTTTCTTACCTCTTCCTTCCGTTGTGAGAAGGCAGCATCGCAATGGAAGCTTGTTGTCCAAGGGGAACAACTTGCTGCTGTCACGCTCCTCTGTAGTCAACAGTGCGACATTGCCCTCAGAACTTAAGTTGCTGCTTTTGGTCTAACCTTTGTCAACCTAACTAGGATGGTTGGACCTATAAGGATAAATGTTCCAGCCAATGTAGCTCAGCTAGGTCATTGCAAAAAGCAAAGCCGATCACTCCCTCAAGGTACCAGCTACAGCCGGAAACTGATTTACGTACATATCAAGTTCCACGTTGTTACTGAGCTCCTGAAATTTTTTAACATACTAAGCTTTCCACACTGTTTGAAAGACATAAGAAAAAGAAACTATCGTATTCAGAGTGAGTTGATCAGAAAAAATCGGACAAGAAGGTCATTTGATGATGATGATCCTGTAGTTCCAGGTTTCATCCAACACTGAGTGAATGAAACGTTTCATGACGTTCTGAGTCTTTAGAGACTTTTCTGAGAGATGTTTCGAACATCCTGCGGGATGCAGGAGTCGTGGATGCGCACTGCTGAGGAGTCCCATACCAGGACGAAACGGCCGTCCAGTGCTTCCAGGTTTCTAATGGTAGTCTAACATTGATCGATTCATGGTTTCAAAAATGTGTAATCCTTAATATCAACCAACAAGAATAACAGTTTCTTCAAATCACAATCCAATCATAATTAGTAGACGTAAATGTGTTGTCACAACTAATATCAATAACATATGTAAGTGTGTCTACATAATTCTGTCAGTTAAGTAATTTTTAACATCAGTATACGAATGTTGGTATTCATTCAAAAAAGTGCAGTTGTTCAAAAGCCACACATCAGTGGGAATGACTATCGATAGGTGATATGAAATACGTTCTATTCACCCTCTGTTGAGAAGGCCTTCCTAAAACAAGCAATCTGATGAAGGGATGATATGGAAGCTTCAGTCGAATTATTAGTGCCACTCTGAAAAAGTAACAGTCTAGATGGATTGATGAGTTCAGCAACAGCCACCCAGTACTTTCAAGTTTCTAATGACTGATTCATGATCTTATTAAAACATATCCGAATGATTGGTCAATACTTCAGATTCATTTTGAATTCAATTTCAACAGGACTAAATTCTCTAGTGTCGAAAATTCACACTCTTCACAACACATAAGTCATTCACATATGTTTTTAGTTATGTATATTTGTGAATTTTATTCATTTTATTGAAATAAATCCAGTTATTCAGCATTCAGGGTAGGCATTCTTTAAACATATTTAACATATGTTCCAATCATCTTTCTAACAGTAAATATTCACACTCTCCTTAACCGATCTATCATTGTTACGTAGTATCATACATTCAACCTCTTTTCACCGTTGCTCACTCATTGGTTCTTATATATTTCAACAAAACAAATGACTTTTACGATTAAATATCACATTTCTGATAAATAAATTGACGTAAGCACTCCATATACAACTATTCTAATAGATTATTCTTACTTAAAAGCAAAGAACAATTTAGTGAAAAATAGCTTTCACTCTTCATCAGTAATAATTAATTAACGCCATCACTGAATGCCTTCTCAGGGATTTATCGATTAAGTAATCATTCACACAAGGGATTGTAGATTCTGGGTCCAATTACTACTTGAAGGGTTATGAATGTATAGTACTGAGAAGCTATTTATTAGGGTGAAATGACCGTTTATTGCTACATAGTTTTCAATAGTTGTCTGGCTAACATCACTTCACGATATTTTGCTATAAACTATTACAAAATCGAGCTTACTTCAGATAATAATAATTAATAGAGATATATAATAGACAGAATGTGTCTAATACTGGGATCTAGGACGCACATTTAGTCCTATTCGGGATATGTCTCCGACTAGATATTGATATCCGCTTAAAATCAGTCAAAAGTTAATTAAAACTCACATCCGTTACATATTTTATTGAATAACTTGAATCAGTATCTGAATGGATCTAGTTACAATCACGATATGATGTACACAGTTTCATGTCTAGTTCAGTATTCAATCGATCATCTAATTTAGTGTCATATGTCTTATGTTTTTTAATTGACAAATCGTTTTTATTTAGCAGTTATAAAGTCTATCGAACAATGTTAGCATTTGATGAGAGTATTCCAGTTAGTATGATAGCATTTTTCACCTTAATACGAACTGATTGTCACAAGACTATTAACAAGAAGTGGAGCAAAAGAGTGCCCATTATTATACATACATTATTTCCAAGCTAAAGGACAACTTTTGAAGCGAACAGCACTAATGAAGAGTCCCTAAGTGAACATCACTTCTAGGATGAAACGCGCATCCCCAATTCCACGCTACATACATTCTATCGATTTTATAAAATTCTGTGTCAGCACGTTTATATCGAAGTAATTTGAATCAGATGCTCATCTGTCAACCAAGACTGGTTGCATTTCAGTTAAAATACATGTCAACAACAATTTATAACATAAAGGTCATGAAATTTTTATTGTAAGTAGTAAAAACTTGAAGAATTGTGAAAGCTATCATCTAATAGATACAGTTGCTTGTTTTACAGTTGTCTACGCAAGATACACCGAACCTGTCGATAAGGAGTTATTAGCAACAACCTACTATGACAGACAACAAACCAAGTTCCAGCTGAGGAGAAAATTAGGGAAACACACTGGAGCTAGATATGACACACATAGGAGAAATCACCAAACGGCATCACGAGGTAAGCCCTAACATGAAATCTTTAAGACCGAAAGAAAAAAGATAGATCATGAAACACACTGTGCCGAGAATTTTAGGCAGATATGAAAAGAACAAATAGCACTTGGAAATAACTCGAAAGAGAGCCTAATGTAGGGTTGGTTAGAGAGTCGGAATTCAACGACCTTTGCCTCGAAAGGTATAATAGGAGTAAGTAAATAAGTAAGAAAAACGAATCTAGAAATCGTTTGAACTGTCTGTGTTTTAAATACACTCATTATAAATGATTAAAGCTGTGCAAATTGTTAAAATGAATCTCGATGTTTTGCGTCATGTAGGACAAAAGTTTGGGGATTAAAGCATAACGAAAAACTGTTCTCAACTTGATGTGAGGGAAAAGAATCGGTTTATTTATTTTGTTGTATTACGCTCAGTTAACAGAAAAAAAAGGAAGAATAAGCAGGACACAATAGGTTGACCATAAAATTTCAGTCATTGAAATACTCTGATTATGAATGGTCGGTTAGTTAGTTCTGTTGAATATCTTTCATGTAATATTTTTATAATTCTGTTTAATAATATCAGTATTCCGATGCTTTTATTTTATAGAAAGCGTGAAAACAACTGAATAAGGTTTATACAAAATAATCAAGACGTGACCAGTGAAGTTCAACCATGTTGAGTATAGTCAGTAATTACCGAATATAAATAGGCGAAGTTGCTCAAAATCTTTAGATTGATTGGAGTTACACATTAACACCGTTGAATGCTGGCTCACTGATAAAGAGGTTAGGCTTTCACCTGTAAGACTGAAAGTCCTAGGTTCAAATCCTGCTTGTAGCCGGTGTCGTGAATGCGCACTACTGATGTGTCCCATACTAGCAAGAAACGGACTTTCAGTGCTTTCAGGTTTTTATTGGTGGTCAAACAATGATTTATTCATGGTTTCCAGGCGAAGTAATCAAGAACAAAGATTTTAGTAGATAGAATATTATGAATTCATTTGGTTCTTCTGATCAACTGATTACAATTTCTAATGTTTTAAAAAAGTCGAACTACAAATTAGATTTGAATTACTTCTATGAAAAGGCCTAATTGAAAGTTGCTATGATTCATTCTGTAGAAATCCGACTCGCTATAAGAACCGCTAACCTAAACAAATAATTCGCTTGTTGGCGGCCTGTGCTACATTAGGGGTAACAGGCTTAAGTAAGTAAGCAAGTAAGTAAGTAGGTACACTATATTAAAGTATGATCGATCAAGGCACCTTTCAAATGAACTGTTTCATGTAAGTAATTTTAAACCTGATTTGTAATTATGATTTCTTACAGTATTACAACACGCTGTAAGCAGATGACAAAACTTCAAATGAAATAAGAAGAAGCATAATCCCATCATATTTTTCTGCTCAAATCACTTTCGTACTTGTTCTCTCTTTTTGAAAGATGATAATAGTAACTCTGTGTGTACATGAAAATACAATATTTCATTGATAATTGGTGGAACTCACTTGTGACATCAATTTACTGGTTTTGATTAAAGTTTGAATCATCGTTCCAAATTGTTTATGTATTTTTTTTAAGGATACTAAAAGAATTTGAAAAAAAAGAGAAATAAGAAAATGTAAACGACAATTTATTGAAGTGATATTTTGAGAAGTTTATATCATGATATATGTACTTTATTTTAATCAAGCCAAACTTCACTTCAATACTATCTTCTTCGAAATCCTCTCCTAACTAGAAACAACACACATATCTCATATCAGTTTTTCGTTGTTCAAAATAACTGTCAACATTGTAAAAATGCAATAGAGATCAACACAAAGTCTAATGGCTATTAGCTGAATAAAAAACCAGATGATGAAGTTTAAGTCAATTTAAAGTGTTTCTTAAAAATAGGGTGACTATTATTATGAGCAATCAAAGTAACTCAGTAAATATATATACCTCTACTGAACAGGTCACGTAAGTTAAGGGAACAAGTTTTTTTATTGAGATCATTAAGTGATCTAAATTATATATATATATATATATATATATATATATATATACCTTGGACCCGCTTCCTAACAGCAGCATTGTTAACTCGGTAAGATATATATATATGTTAAGCTGACTAAAGAAAAACCAACTGATTCATCCTAGTAAGAAACTCCTTAGACTGAACATCCTGATTAGCAAATCATAGATGTGCATTGCTGAAGAACCTCTTACTGAAACGAAACAACTGTTTAATGCTTCAAAGCTTTCATTACTGATCTATGATTTTAAAAAAAACTCATCAATCTCCACAATCCTATACTGTTTTCCGATCTTTCGGTTAAATGATTTAATATATGATGGCTCATACCAAAGTTTTATTGAAATCATGAGTTGATGAATGTTAGACCATCATTAGAAACTTGGTAGCAATGGATGGCTGTTTTTATCCTAGAATAGGACTCATCAGTAGTGCACATCCATGATCTTCGCTTGCAGGATTTGAACATAGGACCTTTAATCTTCTATGAAAGTATCAATTTGTAAAATGTTATGAGTTTGAAGAAAGATTCTTCTGTCATATGAACAGAACAGTTTATGGTTAAGAAAAAAGAGTTGATAAATGAAACTCAAGTAAATATTCTATCACGAAATGATCACATTTATGAAAATGATTATTATATCACAGATATTATCTATTCTATTTCGATAAATTATAAAAAAAAATTTGTATGTTGATTTTTTCGACTAAAAACTATAGTACTACTTTTTGTAAGACTAAAAGATTCTTGAGTTTAATCTGTGGCAGTAACTAAAATATCTCTGAAGATTCATAGAAAAAAACGAAATAACTGACTAAAACATTAATATTTATCTTAATCTTCACTTTGGGGTCGGCAACATAGTTAAAAGACAGATTTTTGAAGGTTACTTACTTACTTACTTACGCCTGTTAACCTCAATGGAGCATAGGCCACCGACCAGTTTTCTCCAACTCTGTCCTGGGCTCCCCTTTCCAGTTCTGTCCAATTTTTGTTCATTCTTCACATATCGTTCTCTATTTCTCGGCGTACTGTATTCTTTGGCCTCCCTCTTTTCCTTTCACCTTGAGGGTTCCATGTAAGGGCTTGTCTTGTGACGCATTAAGTTGCTTTTCGTAGTGTGTGTCCTATCCACTTCCACCGCTTCTTTCTGATTTCCTCCTCCACTGGAATCTGGTTTGTTTTCTCCCACAGTACGTTGTTGTTGATGGTGTCTGGCCAACGAATCCTCAGTATTTTGCATAGACAACTGTTAATAAACACTTGTATCTTCTGGATGATGACTTTCGTAGTTCTCCAAGTTTCCGCTCCATACAGTAGAACTGTCTTGACATTTGTATTGAAAATCCTGATTTTGGTTTTGGTTGAAAGTTGTTTGGAGTTACATATATTTTTCAACTGTAGAAATGCAGCCTTTGCTTTGCCGATTTTTGAAGATAGTTGTCAGGAAATCGCTTAATTTGAGTTTCGGGCTCATTAGCGCTGAACAGTAAAAATCTTGTGGGAACTTATGATCCACGAGTGTAATGCGAACTCATTTCGGTCAACTTCAATCACTTGACATTATATCTTTGCGCGATTTTAAATCATTGCGAGAAGTGACCATACTACAACAAACCGATACACTGTTATCATTCACATAAATTACAAATCTCCTACAATTCATGAAACCATGTTTTTATTACACTGCTTATTAAAGACAAGTCTTTCTTTGAATACTCCGGGAATAATTATGAAATTAGATATAAATATTCAAAACGATACAACTGATGAGATGAATCTAGTTCACCTTTGTACCATAAAACATCAAAATGGGATCATGAGAAATTATTAGTCAAAACAAAACTGAATTAGCAGAAATTAAACTGTTGGTTAAAAATGATACTATAGGGAAATGAAAGTTGCTAATTGACAAGTGAATCATACTATTGGCCAACGATTAGCTTCATTTTCTAAGGAATATATATATATGATTGCTAATGCTCGGGGGTCAGTTAAACCTTCTTCTTTATTCTAACTCTTCTGACTCGTTAATCAGTTGGAAGTTTGTGTTTAAGAAGTTTTTGTGTGTCAATTTGTCTCAGACACACTACGTCATAAAAAAGAAACTACAAAAAATGTAATTATACATTAGATACAAACAAAGAACATTCTTATCGACGAAAACTTTGTAACACTTCATTGGTTAGAGTTGGAACTGTTTTGTTGGTAATGTTATGCCTACGAATTGATTAATCTCCTTTTGGAATATATTTGCATTTATTCACAAGTGTTTATTTAAAAGTGGAGTTGGATAGTCACTAACCCTGGATGACGTAACACAATTTTTCTGGATTTTAAACACGTCAACTAGAGCTACCATTTATATTTTCTGCTGCTGTAGAAGCTGAACACTATCTGGAATTAGTAGGTCGGTAGATAACGCGTTAGCCATTGAAATGTAAGACACTAGGCTTGAGTTCAAGAATGTTCGTCAAAAATAGGGTTAGGATGAAAGTTATTTTACCATATGACATGGTTGTATAATGATGTTAACATAATATTTACCCCGTTTAACCTCACAAACCAAATACAAGCTTGCATTCTAGATACACATAATTCATACACTGATTATTGCAGATATACAGTGAGAGAAACTAAATAAAAACGACAAGTGTATCAACTCACTTTGTTGAAGTGTAAATGACTATATTTATACAGACATAAAATAAGCTAAACACATGTAATCAGTAGTTTAAGTGATTAATACATTTCATAGTGGCTGCGTTGGATTCGAAGAAGAGCTCACTATTTTAGTGGCCTGCGATCTGACTCTGATTTGGAAAAATGATTTGATATGGCGTACAATAAATCTCCCCTTTATCTCATACTTAGGCAATTCCCATTTGTGCGGCCACGATGATAAGAAGCCGAATAAGAATTCAGATGGAGAAGTTTATTTTAAACCATCGTTCATGCAAGCAGACATGAGAATTCACAGCGTAATAGCACAGCGAAGCGAAGTGAAGTAAAGTGAAGTGGAAAAGGTAACTGAGCCAAATCAACAAGACGTAGGATGAACAAGTATTTATTTAAGCTAAATACATTGGTTAATCGAAGTAAGCATACACACAGATAAACTGGATTAAAAACAACCAAACCTACAAGCAAATAATAGACAAGGTCGTGTAACGAGGGTGTATAACTGCGAAAAAGAATGGATTGATTAGTTTGTCCAAAACCTGTGAAAAACAAGCCCTGTTTACTCTACATAACTGGACGCAAACAATAATCTAAGCCCACATGAAAACTGACAAGAAAATAGAAGACTTGTCTGCATAATGACTTAGAAAGTACGTAACTCATGTGGAAATGATATAAGTAGTAGTAGTAGTAGTAGTAGTAGTAGTAGTAGTAGTAGTAATAGTAGTAGTAGTAGTAGTGTAGTGAAGTAGAACACAGATGAGGGAAACCGAATTGTATTTAACGAAAATTACAGAGTTACTCAGTAAAGTAGGAAAACCATATCGTAAATCGTTAATTTGCAATTCTGCAATCCATCATCAATCCATTGTCTGACATTTCACTATTCATGCGTTTCATATAAATTCCATTGTGTTCCCACTCTTCCTTTCTTGATCTTCCCGCATCTTCTGCTGCCAGACATTACGTTTACACTCGCATTATATACTACTTATAAGTAGCGCGCACCACAGTAGTTGTAGTAGAATATAAATTGTTTCGTTCTGTTAATATATTTTCTCCAATTTGATTATTTATGTATTGACTTTTTGATATTATCTAGTTCGTTGATGTTTTAAATTAAAAAAAAACATATTTATCTGCAGAAATGTCCTTATATCATATTGACATTATATAACACGAACTCGTTACAGATGTTATCATGTAGATACTTTTTGGAACAATCTTCATAATAATAATAATAATAATAATCAGCCTTTTTCTTGATGAGAAATTAGAACTTGGTGAATTGGAGTTAGAAGGCATAGTTAATCCGTGTCGATTGAGATTTTTTTAGAGACAAGATGAGAAAGACATTGATATATATATATATATATATATATATATATATATATATATATATAAACTAGAAATAATAATGTCTATAGTCAAGTTCACTAACTTTTTAGATTAAACAAAACACGAGTATGATGAATATAACAGAATAGCCATTAAATATAGTAAATAGTTAAATTCACATTATGAGGTTGTAGAATGCATTGAATTTCAATGAACTCATCAGTCGACCACTGTAGAATCCAAACTGAGGTTTGGACTGAGGAATAACTGTCTAGGTAGTTTAGATACGTGCTATTACCCAGTTGAAACCAAATCAAGTTGACTGGATAGATGACGGTTTAATATTCATCATAAATATAAATGTACATCATTACCTAAACAAATATTACCACTCAGTTATTCCACCGACAATTGTTCAATTCATCAAATCAACAGCAAGAAATAAATGGTATTCTATCCTTTCTGTATAGAACAGATTCGTCCGAAAGATGATATTTAG